AGCACTTGTCTTCCAAGTGCAAAGACCTTCCATCCCCAGCACCTGTGTAAAAAGGCATGTATGATGATGGCATGTATGATGCCATGCACTTATAATCTCAGCACTGGGAGGCAGAGACAGGAGGATCCCGGAGGCTCATTAGCCAACAGTCTGGTCCACTTGGTGATCTCCAGGCCAATGAGAGACTCTGTCTCAAAAAGAGGAGGATGGTGGACTTGAAAATGACATCTGAGCTGTGGTTGTCATTTCCCATAGGAACACACGTACTTGTATGCTCACATTCTCATGCACACACACATACACACATACACACACACACACACACACACACACACACACACACACGTTAAAAAGTATTTTTTTAAAGATCATTGGGATCAGTTTTCCACTATTCTACAAATAGTACTCCTCTATGCTACTTCTCAATCTTATGTTTTTAGAGCTACAGTTAAAAATGAAGATCCCTGAAATGTGGCTGTAAGTCCCAGCTGTCTGTTAAAGTAGCTGTCTGATCTTGGGCAAGTCCTAGTACGTTTCACAGAGCAAGAACATGGAGGCAAGAATGTGCCATCCTGGCTAAGGCTTCTTCCACTGAAGACCAAACACTTTGAAAGTCGAGAACACTGAACTAGGAGACATATGTACATAGAATTGCCTTACAAAATAAATTGCAGAAATCTAGAGGTCCTGGAAGAGAAGACTGAACTGCAGGTCTTACTATATTTTTTTTAAGCCATGAATTGATTTCCACTCCTTAGATGTAAAGAAGAACCTCCACAGACTGAGAAAAAGGACATATAAAAAGGACAAAGCAACCAAGAGACAACAGGGGATTAAAGATGCCCCACCCCACCTCACCTCACCCCCAGGGGTAAAACCACTGATTGCAAAGTCAACAAAGCTGTCTAGAAGAGAGGCAATGAAAGCTTCCCAAACCTCACTCTCCCTAATGGTCGAGAATTACTACTGTAAGGTTTTGAAAAGCTTCTGAAACCTCCCAGAGTTTGTCATTTTTTTTTGCTCATCGGCTGCTCCCCTAGCGTGATTAGCAGTTTTAAAAATGCCATAAAACTAAAAAGTATCCGTGTTCTTAGCAAGAAGATCGAGTTAGCCAAGAACCGGTGTAACTGGCCCCTTATTACATATCCTCCGCACCAGCCTGAAAGGGAGGGCTGCAGCAGCGGAGTAAGGAATCAAGGAAAAGGGCATCTTTCATGATGACTATCATTTACCAGTCAATAATCACACACTAGCCTTTCCTCGTGCATTTCTGTTCTGAACAGTCCTGTTATAAGCGCCGCTGTCATCTACATCTTATATTTTGAAGAAACTATGATTTAGAAAAGGACAAAGTAATTCACCTGAAATTGTTAAAATTGAAAAAAAATCGCCACAAAATGGTGATATAACCATGTGACATTAGACTCCCATGGAGCTCTTTTCACCCCCACTGGACGTTATGCAGAAGGCCGTGAGGAGCTCTACGAAAAGGGATTGAGGAATCCATGAACAGAAGGGATAACTAGGGACCATGTCACACATTGCTGCTATGAAGTACAAAGGACTAGAGAATCCTGCAATGTCTACATCTGAGAAGAGAAGGAAACTCATGTACAACCTTCTTCAGAGTTTTTCTTATTATTTGGTTGTATTTACAATTGAATTATAATTATAATTACTAACCATTTGAAGCAGTGCAGTGCAGAAGTTTTTGGAGAGTCTAATGCCGCAGATGAAGTTTTTCAGCTCTTGCAGATAGCAAGCAGAGAGTCAATGGGGTGACAGGCAGGGTACCCCCAAAGACTTGTTCCTGCCATTTACTTCCTCCAACTACTTCTCATCTCCCCAAATTTTCAGAATCTTACAAACTAGCATCACTAGAAGTTAAGAGACAGCCTTTCTGTTAAAAGGTCTTCCTGATCTTCCAAAGGACCTGAGTCCAGTTCCCAGAACCCAAGTGGGGTGGCTTACAACTGCTCATACCTCCAGCTCCAGGGGATCTGATGCCCTCTTCTGGCCTCTGTGGGAACCCACACACATGTGACATGGACACACACACACATACACACACACACACACACACACACACACACACACACGGACATGGACACACATAAATAAAATAGCATCAATAGCTGGAGATCCAGCTCCCTGACACATGAGCTTTTGTAGTGCTCCCAACACTTGATAATTGTAATACAAGCAACAACTAAGAGGTGGCCATTACAAGTGGACTGCCAGGACAGAGCATCTGAGAGCTGTGTGGCTTCAGGACATTTAGATGAAATAGGACTCTGAATATCTACCAAAGAGATCCTAAATGAAGTGGTCCATAAAAACACCTTAGCGTTGACCCAGCACTTAATAGATGCTAAGTGAACCCCAGTTTCTTCTATAATGACAGGTGACATAGAGACGGTCCCTCTTACAACATGGTCCTCTTTTGCAGTGTAGCCCACCGACAGGGCAGCAAGAATTCTGTCTGCTGAGATTTGGCCACAGAGAAGTAAAATGACAATTATCAGGGACATTATAGTAGGGAACACATCAGATGACATCTTGATCTCTTGCAATGCAATATAAATGAGTTTAAGATTTGGGTGGAATGAAAGGTAATAGTTTTGCAAGCACTCTGCCTGTCCTCCATCACATTTCTCTTTCCTGTGTTCTCTTTTACTGGAAAACAGTACCCACCTTTACCCCAACTCATGAACAAAGAATGATGAATCTTGACAGTCAGTCTGCCCTAAGTTGCCAACTCCTAGTCCAGATTTCTATCCACCCCCTCCATGAGTGGGCACAAGTCAGAGCTTCTCAACATCAGAGTCCCCTCCCATTTCCTCTTGATTCATAGTCCTACATTAAGACCCATCGTCTCCCCTCTGCTCAGGCCTGTCTGTCCCCTGCAATCCTATTTTCAGAGCCTCCAAGAGTGATGCTGCATTGCCTCCTCCACACAGTTGAAGGATAGAGGTTTTCTCGAATGAACACAAAGAAAGATGCTCCGGCTCTGTTGATGAGAACAAGAGAGGGACAAGATGACCTGTTCTTGGGGGGGGGGCGAAAGAACAAAGTGAACAAATGATTGCGTCAAGTGGAGGGACGATATGAAGATATGGATATGGAGAAGCAGATAATCTGTGGGAGGAGAAACAAACTGGCTTAGCCTTTTCCAAGGACAATTTTGTAATAGCTATTAAATTTAATAGTGCACATTTTTCAACATAACATCTCTACGTCATTGCCAGCTCGCCCCAAGAAACACTTGCATAAATACTTAAGGAAGTGCCCAGGCTGAAGGAGTGCACAGTTATGCTGTCTAGAAGGCTAAAATACTGGGGCAACTGAAATGCCAATCAACAGGTGATAAAATAGCTCACAGCAGCTAACATGACAAGGCAGGCCTCTCCACAGAATGAGAAAGGAAGTGGTCTGATGTACAAATGCAATGAATAAAACCAAATGCAAAGGCTTCATGTGGCATTAATGCATTTTTTTTAAAGAATGACATATGCAAGGAAGAAGAAATATCAAGGAATGATGGCAGCCATGTTTATAAGGGTGCAGAGCAGGAAGAAGCTGAAAGGCTTCATTCTGCTTTAGAGGTCACAGCACTGGTGAGGCGCTGTGGAAGAAAAGGTGTTCATGACAGAAATGAATACAAACACCTGCCCACTCCAAGGAAAAAATCCTTATAACGAGCCTTTTAAAAAGGTATCTAGTACAGTCAAGCATGGTGGCACATGCCTTTAGTCCCAGTACTTGGGTGTCAGAGGCAGGTGGATCTCTGCGAGTTCAAGGCCAGCCTGGTCTACAAAGTGAGTTCTAGGACAGCCAGGGCTATGCAGAAAAGCCATGTCTTTAAAAAAAAAAAAAAAAAACAAATACATTTTGTAGGGCTGGACAGATGGCTCAGCAGTTGAGAGCATTTGCTGGTTTTCCAGAGGACTCAGTTCCAAGTACCTACATAGGTGGCTTAGAACTGCCTGAAACTGCAGCTTCAAGGGATCCAATGACTCTATGAGCACCCACACATGTGTGGCATTCACTCACATAGACACATACAAATACATGTCAATCAGTATAAAGCTTTTAAGTGTACCGTGTGGGCCAGTGAGACAGTTTAGTGGGTAAAAGCCCTTGCAGCACAAACTGGATGAGTTCAAGGCCCCAGAACTCAGACAGAGGTGGAAGAAGAGACATGACTCCACAGCTTTGTCCTCTGGCCTTCATGTGCACATCATGGCACAAATGTCACTATTCACACATCGTAATAGGAAATAAGTAAAAATGTAAACTAAATGTGTAGAGTATAAGAAGGTACAGTTTTTGTCCCAGGTGAGTTCTATGCTTGTTGGATGGTCGCATAACAGTGCTTTGTGGGGCATAGAAAGAAGTAACCAAAGCAATGAAGAGGACTCAACTAATGGGTTTTGTACCCGGTACAATATAAGAAGCTTGCATATCTCAAAGACCCTAAAGTTTACAACATCAATACTGGAGATAAATTTTACAAGGAAAAATATACATATAGATAAGGCAATAGTACAAAATTATCTAGAGTGTTCTGACTAGCCAGATAGATTGTGTCAGGAGAAGGGGCTGGGATTGAGGATAAAATGTACAAGAGAATTTTGTTTCCCATTGTTTTATGTCCCCTTCACAAAAGCATACTAGTATAATGTCTGTGTGGTTTAAAATCAACAAATAACGGGCTGACAGATGGAAAGGTCATTTGTTTGCTACTATCCCTAGAGTTGAGTTAGAAGTTGCTGAGGAAAAGGAAAGGCCTCGAGAGAGGGGCCTAAGAAAGCAGAAGACAAGAATGTTTCACTTTCCTCCCGACTAGCTGGAGGATGTGGGAGACAACCACAGTGGAACCAAAATAGCTGATTCCAAGAGCCACAGACAGACAGCAGAGTGTTCCCAGGGCCAGAGGCAACCCACTCAGAGAGTAGAGAGCCCTCCCTGACCTTGATGCTGAGATCTCTCAAACTCACCCGTTTTCTGTGAGTTTGAGGTATGAGTAAGGCTGTGTCTGCAGGCATGGTCACCATGCTTCTTTGAGAGTGCTTGGATGAAGAAAGAGTTTCTGATTCTGGGGGAGAAAAAGATTTTTTTAAAGCTGATAAAAAATGATAACTATCAACAGTGTGGTTGGTGGGATCTATTATCGTCTTTGTTATTGTTGATATATTCCCAGTTTTTGTCAATAATTGAAGGTGATTTTTAGAATTAAAAAACAGATTATAACCTTTGTTTTAAGATGATTATTTTAAAGTTGGAGAGGTGGCTCAGACAATATGCAATGCTTGCCATTCAGGCATGAGGATCTGAGTTTAGATCCCTGGCACTCATGTAAAAAGCTGGTGATAGTGGTGTGTGCCTGTAACCCCAGCAAGGGGAGCAGAGACAGGCAGCACCCTGGAACATGCTGCCTAGATATTCCAGCTGAAACTGTGAGCCAGGTTCAATGAGAAATCCTGTGTCAAAAAACAAGTTGAGTAGTGATTGAGGAATGCCTCAACCTCTGACCTACACACACACACACACACACACACAAGATGATTGTTTTAAGACACAAAGGGGGAAGGGTGGGAGAAGGGAGAAGGGAGGACAGGGGAATCTGTGGCTGATATGTAAAATTAAATTAAATTATAAAATAAAAAATTAAAAAATAGAAAAAAACCCAATCATCCATGAAAAAAAAAACACAAAGGAACAAAAATACTCATAAAATTTGATTAATTCGGAGCTCAAGGATTTTAGTGACTACTCAGAATATAAAAGAATTAACCAACTCAACATTGAATAGCTGTTTGAATTATCCAGGCCTCTGGGAGGCAGCTGGATTGCCTGGAAAAGCAATCAAGCTACTTCACAATGACTTTCTGATATTTTTTACCCCATAATCAGAAGCATAGTGGGAGCCTTAACTAGTCCCCACCCCTTGGAGTAGGTCACCCAGAGTTATGAGATTCAGGGTCAAGAAAAATTCAGAACAAAATAGAAGTTAAGAAACAAATATATAACTGATTACTATTAAGGAATATATCTTACATTCTTTTAAAAAGTTTTTATTAGCATATATTAATTTTACATAGTGGATTTATTACATTTTGATACGTGAATATATATAATGTATTTTGATTATACTCATCCCATTACCTTCTTTTGTCTCTTTCCCAGTTTGGCTGATCCTCTTCCTCTTCTCTCTCTCTCTCTCTCTCTCTCTCTCTCTCTCTCTCTCTCTCTCTCTCTCT